ATTTGTTTTACAATACGTCTTATCAATATTTCATTATATATTACACCACCGTCTTATTTACTCTAAAATTATTGCCACGATCTCATCTACATTTTGATAAAAATTTACGAAAATATATTAAGCAGTTTACGCTCGAATACTGAAAGGCTACTCAAATTTAAGTTGTACTTAAATATCGTGCTATCTCTGTCATTTTACAATGAATTTATAGTGACAGAAGTACACTTAAGCTCGACTTAAAATTTAGTGGCGTTTGAGTATTTGGACATAAATGACAAATTGTGTGAAAAAATTTTTTTTCATCACAAGAATAACAACATAACATCACGCCTTTTACAATCCCTCTTAGAGGTAAGCAGACGTGAATATTATTTATACCACTGTACAATCTAACACCCACTTTTCACTATTTATTTTATGAGTCCCATGTAATAGGAGGTGAGCCTATTGCCATATAGCGGGCATAGTTCTAGACTCCGTGCTACTACTGAGATTTTTTTTAAAACCCAGTAGTACTTTGCTCGACCCGGGAATCGAACCCGAGACTCCTTGCCCGGCAGTCGGACTTGCGACCACTAGGCGAGGCAGTCATCATCAAGAATATACATAATTATAATGTAGACGTTGTGATCGTGCTGTTTTGTAGCCTATTCATAAATTAAATTCATAGTTACATTATCCTTATTTGCTTCCTTTTATGTAAAAGTAATAACTTGATTCTGTTCAATAAAAACAAAATAAATGTCACATTATTGGACTCCTCAACTTACCCCTTCGAGGACAAATAGGTTAATATTTATTTATCGTTCTTACTAAGTCAACTAATACGTAAGGTATATATTACTTATTTCAGCTTTTATTTCCTGTCGTGTGACGGATATGAAACTTAAATACCCAAGGTAACTTTGTTAATGAAAAAATATTTTCAGGATTTCACCGAACGTTATGTATAGAAGCACTATTTTTATAGATTGTCAGTATGCATATGTGAGCATTATGTTGATACTATAAGATATTTTTTTGTTTGTTTTGTTTTTTTATTTTAGTTAGTTTTGTAATGTGTATAATGCGTCAAGCGTGTCTTTGCATTGTTCTACCATATACGTACAGTATTGGAATATGTATCAGAGAATATACTTTTTTTAAAAAGATTTACGAATGAAGTTTCTTTCTCGTTATTCTCCATTCGAATCTACATTTTTGAATGAGCACCTAGCTTCACCTAGCTTCACTGACGGACGGACTGGCAGACTATTAATTATTTTGTATTTGTTGACGTTTCAAAAGTACCAAATTATGGTTTAATTGAAATAAACGCCTTGACTTTGACTTTGACTTATAATGAGGTATGCCCTTGCTGTATAACACAGAAATGTATATGAAGTAATTATTTATGTTTTCAGCGACCCAGTCGACACAGCCGCCGCGTCGCGGGTCGCAGAATGCTTTTCATGAATGCTCTTTGTAACATAGCTTGATACTAGTCGAGTTCCTCGTTAAACAGTTGCGTGAGTAAGCCGAGAATATAATAATTAATTAATTATGTCTCAGTAGTAAGTTTTGCCCGCTCATCTGACATGACCAGCCTAGTTCCACTTCAAGCCTGCGGCTTTATGGCGAACGTCAACGATTTTAGTTGTGGAGCGCAGCGTGGTGTTCCTAATTCTGTCCGATAGTCGAACTCCTAAGATACTGCGCTCCATGGCCCGCTGACAAACGAGCGGTGGGCAAAACTTACTACTGAGTGGAGCCCACTCAACGTCAGTAAACGTCGCGGCAGGCCCAAAAGGAGATGGCGGGACGAATTAGACATCTATGACAAGAATTGGCCGCAAAAAGCTTTACATAGAGAGGAGTGGAAGGAGGGTAGGGAGGCCTTTGCCCTGCAGTGGGACGATCATGGCTGAAAATAAATGAATAAGTAATAATTATGTCTCATGAAAGTTTAAATATAAACAGACATGTATTGTATATGTCTGTACATTTTTATATAATATCCATTTTCTTTATTCTTTTGGTACGGACAAGCGACACAACAGATGCTGTTCTGTTCAAAATTTAATTTAAAAATGCGTCAATCTCCCGAATGGCACTTATCGGAGAGCGCTCCAAAAATGTACCCATTTTTCGGTTTAACGCGATATATTCATAAAAGTTTAACATTTTTTCTTTATAAAGAGACTTTTTATATTAAAACCTTTGCTGTGTTACTTTGTACTCTGACTCTCTCTCACATTGGGGTAGGTAGAGACTATAGAACGCCAATTGCTACGAACAGTCATCAGTCGTTTCATGCATACTCGACTGTTACTTTGGTTTCGCAACAGAAAAAACGACTTCAAACCCCGAAAAGTAAAAAAACACAATAAATAACCTTTGCACCTTATATTCGTTGTATCTCCTTCCTAACCAAAAAAAAAAACTTTTGAAGTCGGATATTTAAAAATTAAAGACATCTCTACTCAAATGTTTAATAATTAAGATTTAATAAAAGTACTCAATTCTAATTATTCAATTGTTATTTTGTTAGAAAACAAATGAAGTGAATCGATTCCTAGGCTTTTAAGCCGATAAACGACCAGACGAGTCACCTGGTGGTAAGCAATCGGCGCCACCCATATACACCTGTAACACCAGAGGCGTTACAAGTGCGCTATAAATTCTTGTTAGCATACCTCTAGTAATAGCTGGAATTGTACCCAAATAGGGCAATAGGCTCACTCTCTATTACATAAAATTGTAACATAACTATTGCAAGGAGTTTAAAAGTCATCACACATCTAACAAGCACGGCTCCAACCCAGCAATTAAATTTTCATTTAAATATGAACTATAAATCGTATGTCGTATGATATATGTATTTCTTAACGTCAATACAAAAAGCCGACGGCAGGTTGTTGTCGAGGCGGCAGCGAAACAACGTCGCATCGTAGTAAGAAAATACTTCTACCGCGCCGGCACGCTGACGCCGCGCCGACTTCGCGATGACGCCGCGCCGACCTCGCGATGACGCCGCGCCGACGACACGCCCACAACGCGCCGATGACGAGCCGACGCCGCACCGGAGTCATGCTTTTCAGATGTAACCTTAACATTTAATGCGCAACTCGACACACGAAGATTGAAGGTCTTAAGTTGTTATATTCAAATAAAATAAAAAAGAAAATAATATTTCCTTTCGCAGAACACTTAGGAAGTGTTATATATCAAAGGTACCTAAGTCCTACTCATCCTCTTGAAGTAAATCTGTATGAAGTTATCAGCCCACTTTATGATTTCTAAGAAAACTTGTCTAGAGCGCGGGGCTCGTTACTTACTTTGAGGAAATCCTTAGCACGTTTGCATACTATAATTTTAATGAAAGAATTTGCCTGTCTGTTGGTTTCATATTACAGAAACAGCCTTTAAATGCCCACTGCTGAGCAAATCCTCTTCCCAAACGGAAAAGGTTTGAGCATTAATCACCACGCTTGCTCAATGCGGGTTGGCGATTTCAAATATATAATTAGAAATTATAAGTTCAAGTTTCATCACGGTGTTTTCTTTCACCGTTTGTCAGTGATGTCTAGATAATCTTAGAAAGTACATATAACTCGGAAAAAGTCACATTTGAACTTGCCGTTGGTAGGTTTCGGACCTGCACCCTCATGCATGAGAAGCGGGCGTCTTAAGCCTCCGGGTCACCACGACACACACACGACAACCAGTATAAACTGAACGTTAAATGTGCGGAAAGATGATGCGACGCGACACCAGGATAAACTGGTTTTGTATTGATGTGTGGCCGTGTGTACATACGTAATTATTTTAACTGCGATGTTGGTTTACTTTTGTTTATACTCTGACTGCTGATTAAAAGGGGTTTCATATTCAATTCCGGGGTTGAACTGAACAGAGAAGAGAGAAATACGAGTACCTCGTGTTCCAGTAAATAATGAGACATTTTATTTAATTAAAAAAAGCTTTTATTCATAAAAATGTCATTAAAATCTTCAGTGTGAATACACAATCATATTATTAATGTAAGCAAAATATGTAGACAAACAAGAATACTTATTAAATAAGCTCTTAACTAGAAAATTATAATCGTACACACCAAAATATATCTGCAGACGTTTGTATCAACTGCCCTTATACTACATAAAAAATCCTTCAATCAATTATCAACCGTAAAGCACTATGATAAGAATAATTATCTATTAAAGTCATACATATATGTAGTTTATAGTTTCAACAGTGTCTGTATAATTGATTAAAATAAATGCTCTGATATGCGGATGTTACTATAACTGCAAAATGCATAATGCGTTGCAATGTCATGTTAAGTTACACATATTGAGGTCGTTTTATGGATGGGTCCCCATTTATTATGTCGCATCTTAATAACTTATTATACAGACTCCAAAAGTATGATTGATTGGGCCCAATGACCCCAAAAATAGTTTGAATGTAATATTAACGACTTTTACACGTCGCCTATTAATTATTTCATTCGCCCATTGTGACGTTTAAAACATAATGTTAACATTCACATTAAGATGGTCATGTGTTATTATTGTTGAAAATGACATTATGAAAATTAGCTAAATCTATTAATTTTAGAATTTACGTAAATTCCAAAATTAAAGACTTTACAATATAATCTAATTACTGTATTGTAGACGTCTACAATACAATACAATACAACATAATCTAATTACTGTATTCTAGACGTCTACAATACAGCATTTAGATGATATTGTAAGTTGGTTCATGGTAATGCGTAGTCGAGCCTTAACAGTATTAGTGATCAGTGATATTGAAAGATACGTACAGACAGTCTAGCATGTTAAACATAAACCGACAAAAAATATTGGATTTTCAACTTTAACACAAAATGATAGAGCTGAAAATTGAGTAAACACTTTAACAGCACGATGCGCTGCGTTGGAATATGGGTCAAATCAAATCCCAGCAACAATGACACACCACTTTCCTAATGTGAACAAATTACACATAATTTAGCGAGGAATAAACTTGACATAGATGGGATCCACTGGTCTGAGAACCAAGTCTGCCATGATTCTAGGCCTTGCTCCCTTGACTTTAGGTACAATTTTGAAGTGACGGACCAGCTCGCTAAGTGTGGTTTTCATTTCCTGCATCGCGAATCTTTGTCCTGTAAAAGAAGGAGACGATTTAGAAGTATATATAGATACTAGCGGACCCGACTTTGTCCTGCATAGCCACTTGAATGTACCTCTATAAACAAAAATTAATTCAAATTAGTTCAGCCGTTTAAGATGAATAACCTAAATAACGACCCACTTGAACACACACAAAAAATTTCATCAAAATCGGTCCAGTCGTTTGAGAGAAGTTCAGTGACATACACACTCACAGAAGAATTATATATATAAAGATTGTCATTGGGGGATATTGTTCAGCAGGGAACGTCCTATGGCTGATATGATGATGATGATGATGTAGATATTGTATAACCAGATGTGTTTTTTTCATAGTCAAAGTCAAAGTTAAAATCATTGATTTCGATTAGACCAGTAAGGCACTTTTGAACGTCAACAACAGAAATTTAGAAGTGAAGCTATTTGCTCCTTCTAACGTGTAGGTAGATTCCTATGGAGAAGAACGAGCAAGAAACTCCATACGTTACTCTTTTTCAATCGAGTTTACAATACAATTCTCTGGTTACATAGTTTTGTTGGTTCGATTGTGTGAGAACAATGCAACACATAAATGCAGTTAAAGAGATTGATTAATTGATTGATGATTTTATATTTGTGATTCGTGATAGAATGTAAATAAAGAATGGAAAGAGAAACCGTTTATTACAAACGTTTACAAAGTTTTATTATATTATTGAATTTTAATAAACGCGTTTGTACATTTTATGTATGTTATCTATTCACGATATTTATATGGTAGGCGAAGCCTGTTTTTCTATATGGACTGCACGCCACTGATGTACTTACATGTATTATAACATGTAACAAAACTCATTTTCTTGGAGTGCTTTATTCAGTTTGAAATTATCTGTGTTTATCCATAGCAACAACATGACGCAACGTTGGGATTGTGGACCAGAGTTTATCAAAAATATTTTAGGATGTCTAAATATTTAAGTGTGGGAGAGCCATGCTTCGGCACTACTGGGCCGGCTCGACTGGAGTGATACCACGGCCTCACAGAAAACCGACGTGAAGCAACGCTTTCGTTGTGTTTCGTCGTGTGAGTGAGGTTACCGGAGGCCCAATTACCCTCCCCTTCCCCAATCTCCACAATCCCTGAATCCCCATCGATCCTTAAACTCCTAATCCCCAAAAAGCCGGTAACTCACTTGTAACGCCTCTGGTGTTCCAGGTGTCCATGTGCGACGCCGATTGCTTACCATCAGGTGATCCGTCTGCTCGTTTACCGGCTTATGTCATGAAAAAAACTCCTCCTTAGTAACGCTAAGGAATTGGAACAAACCAACCTAAGGGCTCGTACACCAAACTGCAATGCGATGCGATACGAATTCGCTACGCAGAAAACTTCGACACGAATTGACAAAGCGTCTCCCAGGGTGACCATTCCTTCGACGACCGTCAACCGTAGGTAATAAACATATTTAAAATTGAAAACTAGGTCGTGACATGGATCGTAAAAAGAAGTGTGCACTTCTGTTATTGCTTAGGAGATACAGGAAAAATAAATAAAGAACATTTGGCAAGATAAGATTATGATGCGCGATGAGAATCAATTCGCAAATCCTTGCGATGCGTAGAGGGAGCTTGCACATTTTTGCGATGTGTCGCATCGCAGTTTTGTGTACGAGCCCTAAACCCAGATTGTAATACGAATAAGATTTGGTAACCTAATAATATACTTTACACGTCAGATAATAAAATAGGAGGTAAAGTATACCCACCAATGCAATTCCTAGGTCCAGCGCTGAACGGTACGTAAGCGTAAGGATGTTTCATCTCCGTGCCCAGGAACCGCTCCGGCATGAACTTCTCCGGCTCCGGGAACATGTCAGCGCGACGGTGCAGCTCGTAAATGTGGACGTCCACTGTCGTACCCTTCTTCACTGTTATGTCACCTAAGGAGGAAACAAAAGAGTATGGTTAATTTGGTTAAGTTTGTCAAAGTCAAAAAGTAGATGGATCTGATCACCAGTAGACAACCCGACAGACGTTCTCCTGTATATCCACGTGAATGTATAAACAAAATTCATTCAAATTAGTTCAGCCGTTTAGGATAAAATAACCTAGACATCGACTGCAGTGCCATCTGCCGGGCTGATTTGTATGAATCTAAACCATTCCCAGATCCCCTTGAACACACACAAAAAATTTCATCAAAATCGGTCCAGTCGTTTGAGAGAAGTTCAGTGACATACACACTCACAGAAGAATTATATAGGTACATAAAGAAGAAGATAGTTAAATTAAAAACAAATAAGTACGCTATTTTCTTAAATGTATGAACGTCGTATCGGTTCGAAGGCTATCTTGAACAAATGTACGACTGTGCGTATTTCTAGGTGTTGAGTATTAAAACGTCACACATTTTTGTCCCTAAAGTTGTCCACATATGTTATTAGTGTGGAAGAGCCATGCTTCGGCACGAATAGGCCGGCTCGACCAGAGTGATACCGAGCAGAAAACCGATCTAAAACATCACTTGCGTTGTATTTCGTCGTATGAGTGAGGTTACCGAAGGTTTAATTACCCCCCGCCACCCCGTCTCCCCAATCCCCGAAACCCCCACAATCCTCAAATTCTTAATTCCGAAAAGGCCGGCAACGCCTCTGGTGTTTTAGGTGTCCATGGGTGGCGCCGATTGGTTACCATCAGGTGATCCGTCTGCTTGTTTACCGACTAATCCCAAAAAAAAATCATAGGTACATGTGACGTCTAGTTTTGGCCAGTTATATTACAAGACCCGTGTAACGAGGACGAATATACTTATAGTCGTTTATCACTTATCACGTAGAGGAACCGTCTATTGTCTAATCTAATATTTGGCTCATGAGCGTGCCTCAGCGTCGTGAATCAAACGATATTTCCTAGTATTTATCGAGATCCCTCCAGTCTAAGTAGGTACATATGACTATTGAGTGACAGGCCCCAGTGGGACGCATCAGAAAGTGCTTATCTCTTGCCTTGTGATAACGTAGAAATAGTGACGATATACATACATACAGACAATCAGACATAAATCATGTCAAGAAGTAGGAAACATATAAACATGATCTTAAGTGTTTCCTGTCAAAAGTTAAGGTTGGCTGTAAAAAGACATAGTTATTTGTTCAATGACGGATTGGGCACACATTGTAACATACGTTTTGTCGATTAGATTTAAGTACTTAAACTGAAATTACGTACACTATCCATTTTTCTTGGGGGGGGCGTCATCTGATGACTTCTCCCGCCTTAGATGAGGCGAGAGGGAGTGTCAGACTCTTACTGACTAAAAACCACCCCGATTGTTAGTCAGTAAGAATCTGACACTCTATTCTGTTTTATTTCTGCTCGAAGCCCCGGCATTCTGTACTTGGCATCAGCCCTATTTGTCCCCATCTGTGGTGGTCTGGTGGCTCTTTGAGATGCGCGTACGAACGGATCTGGTTCTGGTTGGGCGAGTTACCCTTTTTTTTGAGGGAGAAAATCATCCAATGTCTTCTCTGCCTTGGGTTAGGCTAGAGGGAGCTCGCCATCTGCAGACCTGCACCTACGGTGGCCAAAAATCGCCGCGCAATCTCTAAAAGTACTCTATGATAGACTCTTGCCTTAAATCTATTAAACCTTGGGTGCAATCAAACTTCTATTCGATACAAACAAGAACTAAATTGTTTGTTTTAGTTTCATCCAAATTGTTATACACATATAGTTCATAATCCTTTGATTAAGATTGAGATAAGTTTCGACAACAGTATCGCGGATTTATGTACGAAAGTGCTAAGTTGTTATTAACGCTAACTAAAGTGTATGGAGGGTAATCGATGTTTGATACACTTCAACGAGATTTGTTAAAGGATTCTAAAAGTTAAGAACGAGTTTGGTTAATCGCTTCAATTAAAGCCGTTCATTGATTAGACTTAAAGACTACGTAAGCAACGATGTGATTTGCGAGAACGTCATCTTGGAACATCAACGTGATCTTGGTGGCCCAGAGGTTTAAGACGCCCGCTTCTCATGCATGACTGCGGGGTCGAAACCTAGCAACAGCAAGTACCAATGTGACTTTTTCCGAGTACTATGTACTTTCTAAGATTATTTAGACACCACTGACAAACGGTGAAGGAAACCATCGTGAGGAAATCTAAAATCGCCAACCCGCATTCAGCAAGGATAACAAATAATGCTTAAACCTTCTCCGTGTAAGAAGAGGTCTTTGTTCAACAGTTGCCACTTATAGGCTGTTGATGTTTGATGTTGTTCTTATTGTTGATCTTGGAATCTAAAAAAAACTATTTCATACATCGGTTGTCTCTAAGAATGGAATCTGGAATTATGCCCAAGAATACACACATCCACATAAAAGCAAAACTAAAATCTTAAAAGTGTATCCCTTTGTGGGATAAAAGGTGTGTCCTTTTGGAAGTTGAAAGGGAAGAGACCCTGTATTTTATTTTCTTTATTTCGTTATAACATGGCTACACAAAACCTATACAAACCAGTATAACCTGACCGCTGGACGTGCGAAAAGATCATACAAAGTAAGTCCATGATAAGCTGGTTTTAATAGCTTGGTGTGTCTATTTCACACGAAGTGATGAGATGACTTATCTAATCACAATAGTGAGCTCCCTGACCTAATTTTACGTCTAGCAATCAGACGCGGATTGTGGAGAACGTATTCTAGCTTAGAGATGTGATCCAACTACAAAAATCCGATCTGAGATATGTAGCACGATTGATAAGGTTGCATAGCAACACGTATTTTATCCCATAGTGATATTATGTTTATAAATATAATTTATTATGTAGGTACTATCCGTAAAGTATACGCTTTTTATGGAATAATAAACGAGCAGAAGGATCACCTGATGGTAAGCGATCAGGTGATGACGCCGCCTGTGGACACCCGCAACACCAGAGGAATCACAGGTGCATTGCCGACCTTTTAACGGCATACGCTCTTCTCTTGAAGGTTTGAAAGTCGTACCGGCTCGGCAATACCGCCGATGACAGTAAAGAGTTAGTCCGATAGATGCATACTATACTGTGAGAATCTTGAAACATGTGTAGTTAAGATAACATTATATTTACCCCCTTATTTACCTTGCCAACACAAGCGCAACTAAATTGGCACAAAAATTTGTTGAATTTCTTAGTTATACTAACATCTATTACTATGAACCAATATATTGGTCAAACCATGTATGTCTATGAGGTAGTTTGTTAATCTTTGACTTAAAATACTGAACATATCGTAAAAGTAGTGAAAGAAAAGACCTGACTATGCACTAGATGACGGTGGACCCGTTATCAACTATGTTAGACAATTTATCCACCTGATCTGACTGAATGATAAGGGCGAATTTAAAAAGCTGAACGCCAATCTTCTGAGATAAAGTGACACCACAGGAAAATCTTATATCTAGATAACTATGCACAAAAAGTGAATTTAACCTAGATTACACCACATATAGGTTTCATTTTACCCCTCAAAATGTAAGATCTTCGTAGAATAGACCAAATACGCAGGCAGAACAAGTAATAAATTAATATTAAGTACATTATAACTATTATTAAGATTAGATATGGTGAACTTTTCAACAAAACACAAACTTGGGCGTCTCATCAATGTTTAATGATAACTTCACACCTGATATTCCATGAAGGTGTTCACAAAATCGTTGCTATAATGAACCGATATTTTGCCTTTGGTACTTAATATTCAGTAATCGAATTATAACAAAAACAATAACACGACATTTACGGCTTGGCCACGAGGATTGGCGGCGCGAACGGCGGAGCGACGGGCGACGCGTATATTCGCGCGGCGGACTTCACAGGCCACGAACATCGACGTTTGCCGCCACGACCACAGAACATATTATTGTAAGAGTATTTTATTAAAACCGATTTTAGCCAACCTCATATAAAACAACTAGCGACCCGCCCCGGCTTGGCACCGGCTTGGTAATATGCATGTAATGTACATATAAACCTTCCTTAAAAATCAATCTATTAAAAAAACCCTTCAAATTCCGTTGCGTACTTTTAAAGACCTAAGCATACATAGGGACAGACAGACGACGGATAGCCGCGACTTTGTTTTACATAATTACTATGTAGTGAACACAGATATAATAAAGAAGTATTTCTGTGGTAGTGAAGCTAACTAACAGTAAAATCCTAATGAACTTTCGTTTTCCTGAATGTTGGCTACTGCAGATTACGGACTATGTACAAAAATAAATTCAAAGTTTCATAAGACTGGCACTGTACTGATACATTAACTTTTTACACTCGCTGGCGCAATTCGCTCGGTACATTTCGCCGCTCACCGTGGCTTGATCAGAGGCCTTGGTACAAGTGCCTTAGTACATGTTTAAAGTATTCGTAACGAGACTTCGTTTGGCGCTCTAATTGGTTGGTTCATTTGTGCCGGCCAATCAGAGCGCCGAACGCGTACTCGTTTCGAATACTTTAAACATAAATCAAACTCGTACTAAGGCCTCAGTATATTTCTACGTGTTTGTTTCAGTCGCTAGATGCCTCGCCGGTCGCACCACGCAGAGTATCTATCGCTCGCAAGGTAGAATGTTTCGTGGCCAGACTGTTATTCCTCGAAGGAGTATGCACAGGTGCACATATTATTTTTTTTTTTTTTTTTTTTTAAACAAATTTATTCCTTTCTATTTTACAAAGGTATGGCCTTATATCTAATCTCGCCAAACTTTGACGTTTGATGGCGAGAGACGCTCGTTGTACAAACAATATTAATAACATCATAACATTTTTGCTTAACATATAGGTACACTATAACCCAAGCATGACATAGTAAGTATTTACATATATTTAATAAAAAAAACACTTCTGAAACAATACCAAGCAATTTTTACTAAAACCCCTGAGTAATTAAAGAAATATGAAAAATGAAAAATCTAAAATTCCATACAAAATCCTTATTCTAACTTATTCCATCCAATATAATTCTTTTTAATTTTGACTTTATAGGTCCCTTCCTATATTTTTTCCCATCTTCTCTTAATATGTCTATTTGGTTAAATACTTTAGGTACTAAGTAGGCGGATGTTCTTTTCCCATAATAATTTATTACATTTGGTACAGTAAATTTGTTTTCTCTGACCCTACGTGTGTTGTATTTGTTGGTTACGTTATTTTTAAATTTATCATTATAATAATATTCTAAGCTAATTAAATAATCTATTTTTTTATCTACGGGTATTATTTTACAAATAGGAAACAATTTTTCGTACTCTCTATTGCACTTATCTATAACACTTCTACTTACTAGGAACTTTATCAGTCTTATTTGTAAATCTCTAATATCTTTTAAATATGTAACAAATGTTCTGCCATACACAATAAGTCCATAACTTAACAGTGAGTCTGCAAGTGCGAAGTAAACTAATCTTAAAGTCTTTTTGTTTAATACATCTTTTAGCTGGTAAAACTTACTGAGCACAGCCCTTAGTCTATTACAAATATCGTTAACATGTAGTTTCCAACTGAAATTTTTATCTATCGTTAGGCCCAAATATCTAAATTGTTGTACATATTCAAGTTTTCTACAGTTACAGTTATATTTATTTCTATGTAAACATTCGTACGTATGCCCTATTATTGCTATAGATTCACTATTTATGGATTTAGCATTCCGATTATACGGCGAGTGTATATGCATACATTTAGTTTTTGTATGGTTTAATATAATTCCATTGTCATGCGCCCATTTACTGATGTTTTCAAAGTCGCTCTGTATACACTTCTGAGATTCAGCTATATATACACTTCTGAGATTCAGCTATATAAACTAGCTTTTACCCGCGGCTTCGCTCGCGTCACAAAAGGATAAAAGTAGCCTATGTGACATATACCAATACACACAGCGCCATCTATACCAATACTTTTGTTTTCCCTCGGGAATATCAATTTTTTCCGGGATAAAAAGTACCCTATTATTTAATCCAGACTTCTAACTTTACGTCTGCAAAAATTCAAAGCAATCGATTTAGTAGTTACGGCGTGAAAGCGGAACAAACAAACAAACTCACTTTCCGATTTATAATATTAGTAAGGATTAAATCAGGCAGAAGTGGATTTAACCAAGAGAGCGCCCTAAGCAGGGACCTCATTGGCACCCCTACTCTTTTTTTATATGGGGACGCTCGTCTCGCGGCATTGTTGCCTCTCTGTAGCCTGGCGCCCTAGGCCCTTGCCTAGTTTGCCTCAGGGATAATACGGCTCTGTAATTAGGTAATGATAACATCACTCAATGTTTAGCTGTCATCATTTATTGTCTTATTATGTACACTAGAGTGAGTCTTGCTGTGCACCAATAAAAATTCCAGATTCGGTTTTATTCTTTAGAAATTTAAAAACCCAATAATAGTTAACCCAGACTCCATTGCTGGGCAATGCTACGTTACATTGACGCGATCAAAAAAGCAATTATTATTTTATAATTTAAAATTATAAAACGTTCTCCTAAGTGTAACAAGCACTTTTCTGAAAACTGCACCAAAATCGGTTCAGCTAATACTGAGATAATCTCGTACATCTACATACATACATACATACAGGTCAAACTATTCTTTTTAAGTTTGTTAAAGATATGAATAAGAAACAATATTAAATTAACTACAAATAGGTACATAACAAATCACGGTAAAGTTTCAAGCACTAAGCTACGCCTACTTAGGTATTAATCTTGTTGTTAATCCTAAATGAACTTGAACGGTATAATCCCAAAATGTTAAACACAAGGATTCAGAAACTGTGAAGGTGAGAATTACTAAGTAATGAATGAGTCTGTCTTAATATAGACTTTATCTGCCTTAAGTTAGTAATAAGTGCAGCTACATGGGGTATCAGGTTCAATTCCCAAGTCGGGCAAAGAATTATTGGCTAGCTTAGAGTTTATTCACACAATTTATAAGTTGAAGTTTATGTTTTTATTTTTTTTATGGCATAAGCCGGTAAACGAGCACAGATCACCTGACGGTAAGCAATCGGCGTCGCCCATGGACACCTGGAACACCAGAGGCGTTACAAGTGCGTTACCGGCTTTTTGGGGATTAGGAGTTTGAGGATCGAAGGGGAGGGTAATTGGGCCTCCGGTAACCTCACTCACACGACGGAACACAACGCAAGCGTTGCTTCACGTCGGTTTTCTGTGAGGCCGTGGTATCCGGTCGAGCCGGCCCATTCGTGCCGAAGCATGGCTCTCCCACATATGCACAGGGCATAATGGATCATTTCTACCAATAAGCAACCTAATCACTCGCCCCTCCATAATTTGTACCTACATTTGTAGGCGACTAAACCTTAATTTTTTTGAATGAATATCCATGTTTTATACTTTTATGTGCATTGCATTCGCAAAACCTCTGTAAAGATATACTATAGCTACGCGTGGAAACCTATAATTGGCTTTGTATTAGTATATTCTGAAATTTTATTCTTTGTAATATAGCTGTTGGTTACCCGAATTAAAATAAATAAATAAATTGCAAATAAATCTATTCTATTCTCCAAAAACACCTACAAAACGAAATTTCCTATTCAACCAAAAAACAAATATACTCACCCAGCTTAAAATCTTCAGTGATCTCTCGTCCAATGAAAGGCACGCTGGGGTACAATCGCAGTATTTCCTTGATGACCGCCTCCAAATACTTCATGTCGGACAGATTGGACATCGTCACGTGTTCTGAGTCACCCAGGATCGTTTGGCATTCCTCGTAGATGCGCTCCTAAAAAAGAATGTATATAAATTAAAGTTGTCGATAGTACCTACTTTTGTATTAATTAGTTTTAAGAAGGGAAGATTTTCCTCGTGGGTTGGCCCGGAGGTTTAAGAAACTCGCTTCTCATGCATGAGGGCGCGGTTTCGAAAACTACTAACGGCAAGTACCAATGTGACTTCTTCCAAGATATATGTACTTTCTAAGATTATTTAGACACCACTGACAAACGGCAAAGGAAAACATCGTGAGATAACCTGGCATTATAATTTCTAATTATAAGTTTGAAATCAAGCGTGGTGATTAATGCTCAAACCTTCCCCGTGTGAGTAGAGGCCTTTGGTCAGTAGTGGCCACTTATAGGCTGTTGATGTGAAGGGAGGGTAAGGTAAGGGGGGTAAGTAGAAGGAGGATAATATGTAAACTTAACTTACTAAGAAATAAACATAGTGTTTGTTAAAACTAAAATTAGAAAAGGGATCATTATAGTAAAGAATCAAAATAGCTATACAAAAATGTTTAACATAACATAACATAACATCACGCCTTTTATCTCCGAAGGGGTAGGCAGTGGTGCACATTATACCACTATACAATGTAACACCCACTTTTCACTATTTATGTTATGAGTCCCATATAATAGGGGGTGAGCCTATTGCCATATACCGGGCACAATTCCATACTCCGTGCTACTACTGAGATTTTTTTACATACCCAATAATACTTTGCCCGACCCGGGAATCAAACCTGAGGCCCCTTACCCGGCAGTCGCACTTGCGACCACTCGGCCAACGAGGCAGTCAAAACAAGTCACAGTTACAAACATGTTTATTACTCCTAAATATCTTGAGAGTCCAATTCACATAATTTTGATTTAAAGCAAATTATGCACCACAATTTTTTTTAAATATCCTATCACCAGCAGAAAGACTAGCAATAAAAGCCATCTGTTCGCTAAAAAAGAAAATTCAATATTTTTGCAGTCTCTTTGAGATGACAAATGGAATTTCATTTCTGCAAGAAGAAAAAGTGAAGTCAAGAAGTTTTTATTAACAGGCCACTCACTGGCAAACATTCCTCTCCTGTTTCAATAAACAGTGGAAAATTAAAATAAATAAGAAACGCTTCATATTATAATATTCTATGCAGTATTTATATATACATTTCTTGGTATTAACTTCGCTTCGCAATCTGATTGCGTTGATATAGATACACTTTTTCTTTTTAAAGAACTTTGCCCCTTAACTAAGATTTTCTCCTGTGTCGTGGGTGCGTTTGCGAACATACAAGTTCACACGCACATATATGCACACACATCACACTCAGACCCGAAACAACAATTTGTGGATCACACAAAGAGTTGCTCGTTGCGGGAATCGAACCCGCTACACGTTGCTAGGCAGCCGGTTGCCCAGACACCGCACCAACCGTGCAGTCACTGCTTGTACCTATATTCAACGTTGCTAAGATCCATCAAGGTTTGAGTTCCGGATCTGTAGAACATCGTACGTTCTTGTGATTTTTATGTTATATAGGTATAACTACGACTTACGACTAGCCTTTTAGGGCCGAAACACATAACCGCGTTGCGGCGCCGCAACGCAGCGCTCGTTCCAGCATAGCAGAGTAATGACTTAATAACAAATAACCAATAAGTTTTTCACGATAGTCCATGGCAGAGACACGTCTATCCACAATATAAAATCACGAGGAACTGGTTACCCTACCGAACGACAACAAAACGCTCTTTATTACGACGCCGCAACGCACCGCAACGCAAACAGCCGATTTTAGCGCTGCGGCGACGCAACGCGGTTATGTGTTTCGGCTCTTATTGTTTTAAAAAAAATGAGGATCGAAATCATTAACAGAATCTTTTATGAATTGCAATTTGTATCTTGATGTAAATATTCGCTACATGAAATTTAAATAATTGTGAATAACATCAACATGTTTTATAATTACCTGTACATCTTCGTGATCAGCCAACAGCATCAAGCCAAAAGTAAGAGCTAAGGCTGTTGTATCATGGCCCTGTAAATAAACACCTTTATTAAGGGGGCTTAACATACATTATTGCTAGTTCCTTAAAAAAATATTATTATCTCTAGTTCACTATTGACGTTGTTCCCAGACATTCCCAGTATTCAATTCTTCTAATATATTAAAAAAAAACTATCCAATATTGTTCTGTTACACGATACAGAGGTCAAAAATGAGTAACAAAGTTTTTCGGCATGAATGAGCCGGCTCGACCGGAGTGAAAACCGCTCATAGAAAACCGGCGTGAAGCAAAGCTTGCGTCGTGTTTCGTCCTGTGAGTAAGGTTACCGGAGGCCCAATTATCCTCCCCTTCCCCAATCTCCCCAATCCCTGAATCCCAAACGATCCTCAAACTCCTAATCCCCAAAAGGCCGGTAACGCACTTGTAACGCCTCTGGTGTTCCGGGTGTCTATGGGCGGCGCCAATTGCTTACCATCAGGTGATCCGTCTGCTCGTTTACCGGCTTATGCAATAAAAAAAAACCGAAATCTTTGTAGGTGCATAGGTACATACATTTGGGTTACCCTTTTTTATTAATACAGTTACAGTTAACCATATAATCAAAGCCAAATATCAAAACAAAAAACGTCTCTCTGACCTACCTCAAACATGAAAGTGTTAACCTCATCCCTGATACCATCCATATCAATCTCGCCTTTCTCTTCAGCCTCCAGCAACAGATCCAACATAGCCAATCTCTTCTTAGTTCCAATGCCATCAGACGCATCAGCAATAGAAATATCTTCTCCCTTATTCTGAATCCTCTGGGCCTTTCTATCCATGATGACATTATCAGCAAAGGCTCGAGCTACTTCCAAGGTTTTTGTGAATTCTTTTCCTCGTGACGAGTTGTTGAAGATGAAGTCGTTATGCAGCCAAAACCGGGTGATCCTCGCTAACATTTGCATGCCGATGTTAAGGATGGCGTTCTTGTAGTCCACTGTGGCTGATGTCTTATCGTCGTCCAATTTGGTCCCCATTGCGGTTTCTGTTGAATAGGAATTGCTGTAAGATTACTTGTTCAGTAATTTATTATAATTAAGTGTCATTGGATTGCCGTTGCAATGAGGAAATTAAGATTTAATCTGTGTTTACGTGCTTATGCATTATAAAAACTTGATAGGAACTGATTTAAAATCTAAAGCCTTTCCTACCTAAAATTAGTTAAAGAAGAAGTCTGCTGTCATAAGGATAAAGTGTGGAGTGTTACCACGGCCTCACAGAAAACTGACGTGAAACAACGGTTGTGTTATGTTTCGTCGTGTGAGTGAGGTTACCGGAGGATTAATTACACCCGCGCATGTGCGGAAAGATGATGCGACGCGACACCAGGATAAACTGGTTTTGTATAGATTGATGTGTGGCCGTGTGTACATACACACGTCAATACCAAAAACACATAACAAGATAATCCGGTAGAAGTGTTAATGTGATCGTAAATATACTGGTATGTGTACAATAACAAAAATATTTGATTTACTATTTGGTTATGCATTATAACATTGACCTTGAATTCGGAGATTCTGATTAGGTAAGTAGGTTGTTAAACTCAATCAAGCTTGACTCACAACCGATAAGAATTAATGAGTATAAAATTGTTTTTAGATTAATGGTACTTGTCCATTATAATACTTATGTGCATCCCTAATTTCCGCTAAGAATTGAGAGATTTGGCCCTTAGGGCCGATACACATAACCGCGATGCGTTGCCGCAACGCTAAAATCGGCAGTTTGCGTTGCGGCGTTGCGGCGCCGCAACGCAGCGCTCGTTCCAACAAAGCAGATGTCTTCTTAATAACAAATAAGCAATAAGTTTTTTACGATGGTTCATGGCAGAAACACGTGTATCCACAATAAAAAATCACAACGAACTGGTTACCTACCGAACGACAACAAAACGCTCTTTTTCACGACGCCGCAACGCCGCAACGCACCGCAACGCAAACTACCGATTTTAGCGTTGCGCCGACGCAACGCAGTTATGTGTTTCGGCCCTATGTTCATGTTATCTTACGCTGTTTGTGAGCAAAACTTAAAAAATATTATTTAATTTACAAAAACACCTACTTATCTAAAATCAGGACCATTTAAACTGCACTTGAAACAGTTCTATTCTACAAATAACAAGAGTTTCGAGGAAAACGATTAAGTTAAACAAAACAAATAAACTGTCGTCCTACTGAATACTTTGTGATGCATCTTCAAAGAACTTAACGATCGGAAACAATTCTTAAGACGCCATATTTATTCTGAAAGAAGGAACTGTATAATTCGATTCATTTCTCTTTTACTTTTTGAACTATCTAGAGTAGCTATTTCTAAACTATCTAGAGTTGTTGTTTAACCTGCTGTTAAGTGTTACAATTTTAGAAAATCTATACAGATAAATAACATAACATAACATCACGCCTTTTTATCCCCGAAAGGGTAACACCCACTGTTCACTATTTATGTTATGAGTCTCATGTAATAGGGGGTGAGCCTATTGCCATATATATGTAAATTTCCAGACTCCGTGCTACTACTAAAATTTTTAAAAACCCAGTAATACTTTGCCCGACTCGGGAATCGAATCCGAGACCCCTTGCCCGGCAGTCGCACTTGCGACCACTCGGCCAACGAGGCAGTATACAGATAAATATAGTAAGCATTTCTTTCTACTTTGACCGAAAAGGCGAGAAGTCCTTTATTTTGAGTAAGTATTATCTCTCCACGGGAAACAAAAGGAATGTTTTGAGTACTTAATTCGAATTATCGTATTTATAGCGCTGTTGTAAATAAGGAAAACAGTGATTAATTTAAAATTACGTAGTTCGTTACATTATTAAACATAGTCAATGTTTGTGTGATAACTTTCGTGAGACATACTAAATAAATTATTATATTTTCGGCTTACTCACGTAATAATTTGACGAGGAACTCGACTAGTTTCAAGCCATGCTAGAGGCTCATATTCATGAGCAGCATTTCTCACGTTACTGCGTTTAGCCTTCTGATTGGTTGATTAAATTGGAGCAGGCCAATCAGAGCGCCGAACGTCATAGACGTGTCAATTGCGTTAGCATAACACACACTCGAACTAGGCATTTAGGTGACAAGTCTACACGTTTTCAGGTGTCCATGAGTGATACTGATCACTCGACCAACGTCACCGTGAGACAACCGCAACACCAAAGGAGTCACAAGTGCATTAATTACGTAGGCCTTTTTCTTTTTTTTCTTTCTTTCTTTTTTCTTTTTTAAAAAAAAAACGTTGCCCCACACTATGATTTTCTCCTGTATCGTGGGTGCGTTTACAAACATACAAGTTCACATACACATGACACCCAGACCCGGAACAACAATCTGTGGATCACACAAAGTGTTGTTCCGTGCGGGAATCGAACCCACGACACGTTGCACGGCAGCCAGTTGCCCAGCCACCGCACCAACTGTGCAGTCGAATCGGCTGTAGCCGGAGGATGCAAAGGAAACCAAGTTGTTTCTTAAAATATAACTTTAACTAGCGACCCGTCCCAGCTTCGCACGGGTGCAATATGCATGTATTATAATATATATTCTAATAGCGTCAACAACACGTGGTAATTATGCTGTTAAAATGTAGCTTATATGACACGTTCGTAGATTTACCATAGCAGCGCCACAGACTAACAATTTGCAATAAATTAAAATTGCGACTATAGTTTGAGATATAAACTATCCTATCTCTCAAGTCAAAAAAAAAGGAAAAAAAGAAAAAGTTGGATCGAACTGCACATGGTGTGCGAATTTTATTATAATCGGTTAAGTGGTTTAGGAGTGCATTGAGGACAAACATTGTGACACGAGATTTATATATATTAAAGGTTAATAAAAATTACAATAAGTAGGTGATAATTGGTCGATGTTGTACCAAAAATGACGCTCTTTACAAGGGTTGAAATTAGATCGAGTATTAATGCGAGTTCGCGCCTCGTATACGGTAAAATGTCGCGATGCACAAATGTTCCTCATTTACAACGTTGGGCCGTCTATTACACCGTAGTGTAACACATTGCCTAGCTACTTATATCCCAATTATGTTATGACAAGCAGTTGTGATCAGACATTAAAGTAAGTTTTACTATAATTAAGTATAAGTGCCTGTAATTATGGTGCAGTGATTACAGACTGACACAATGATGGCTTGTTGCATACATTGTATGATTTATACGCGTCACAAAAGGATGAAAAGTAGTCTATGTGACATATACTAATACACACAGCGCCATCTATACAAATAATTTTGTTTTCCCTCGAGAATATCAATTTTTCCGGGTTAAAAAGTACCCTACTATTTAATCCGGACTTCTAACTTTACGTCTGCAAAAATTCAAAGCAATCGGTTTAGTAGTTACGGCGTGAAAATGGAACAAACAAACAAACTCACTTTCCGATTTATAATATTAGTAAGGATTAAGCCTGAGATACGAACATTAGATTAAGTATATCTATATATATAAAAGAAAGTCGTGTTAGTTACACCACTTATAACTCAAGAACGGCAGAATAGATTTGGCTGAAAATTGGTAGGGAGGTAGCTTAGAGCCAGGAGACCGACATAGGACTTTTTGACCAATTTTTTTTTTTACCGAAAATCACGAACGGGGACGGGAAAAAATGGGATTACGCGTAAGAAGTCGCGGGCAGAAGCTAGTTTTTTATAAGATGAAATGACTTTGATATAATCTTTTTGAAACGTAATGTAAAAACATTTCAGCAAGGCTCGTTGATGGAATGATCATAAATAGATAGCGTGTTAACATAAAAATTGTAATTCGATATTTCTATTAGATAATCGATTTTTAGATACTCCCTGACTCGGCAAACTTCTTATCGCCTTAATTTATTTTTCTCACAATTTAAACCTTTCCTAGACTTCCACAAACAATTCAAGACCAGAATTAGCCAAATCTTTTCAGCCGTTCTCGAGTTTTATCGATACTAACGAATGGAAATTCATTTTTTGTTATATAGATTAGTACTGAATGTATTTTAAAAACTTACATCGAGCCAATGGTTTTCCATTAAGATCGGATATTAAATCCAGTCACTACTTCGAAAGAGATCACTATTGGGTACTTTATGGGTCATGATGCGGAGCGAGAGGAACTGGGATGCCGTCTCCTCCTTTTGCGAAGCTAGTTAGTTATGCTAGCTAAGGAGGAGGCGGGACGTGTGAGGCAGCGAAGCGCTGCCTCCTCGCAACCCAGCCATCGCGAAGGACACTCGAAGATCGCGAGACGATCTGCGGCCTCCGTAAGCGCGGGCCCGCGGACGGCGAGCATGGGTGGTTCGCCGGTCGACCAGAACCAGACCCGAGCGTACGGCGGTCGCGCGCCTCAAAGAGCCATCAGACCACCACGGATGGAGCCCAATAGGGCTGATGCCGATACGGAGCCTAGGAGAACCTAACGGGTTACCGGGGCTCCGGCTCAAAGCAGATGAGTAGGAACGGGGTGGTTTTTAGTCAGTAAGAGTCTGACACTCCCTTCCTCCTCACCCAGGATTAGATTATTTTCCCCCATAAAAAATAAATTGGTCACTTTATATCCATTGTTGCAAACATACCAAAATTAAAAAGTACTGTAATATGGACCAAATAATTATTACGGAATTAACAAACTAAGAAATAAACCCACCAACCTAGACCTTTAATGAAAAACAGACACAGGATAAAGACAAAACAAATTACGGACTCATAAACTTGGTTACTTCATTTCGTAATTGTTTTATATTTTCTTCTTAATTAACAAAATAACTTTACCGCAAATAACTACCAGGAAAACAGCTACACCAGACGTAATGGTCTTAAAACACAGGTAGCTAAATTAGTTCGATCATTAAGGAAATTTATAGTGTCCTGGATTGTTTACCTACTGGGAGTTTTAAAAATAGGCAATATTATATATTTTGATGTACTCTTTCTGATTTCTATTTTGCACCCTCGTAAGTGCGCTGCTCGCGCCGCCATATTGGAAAAATGGTGGACAAAAACAGTTTGTTTTTTGCTATAACTCTTTTCCTGTGCATTTCACTAGAAAACCGTTAGCTACAAAATTAAACTACTCATATCGTTTTACAATTTGTGTCTAGGTAGGTTTTTTTTTAATATAAGTAGTTTTGGCGCTAAAGCACCGCAAAGTACTTACATTTTATGAGGACTTTGGGAAAATGATAATATCCAAAGCACATGAAAGTAGAGCAAGCCGGGTTTTTTTTTTATGATGCATTCGTTTATAGGTCTAATGCTCATTTGATTGTGGTACACACTTTAGTAACTTGCCCTAATATCCGGCAGTAAGCTGTTTCTGATGATCCGCACATAGGAGATTTGTTCTTGGGCACATATCGATATATGTCATAGTCGTTATTTTTAAACGAAAATGCTTGTAACAAATCTGCAGAGGTGCGTCGAAAATAAATCGAGCGATATTTTAATCTGCTGGGTCTCGATCGATACCCAAGGATTACTGAACTAAATGTAATTATTAAAACTGAATTGTAATAAAATTAATATAGGCTGTTATTTGTACATTTTGAATTAGGAAGAAAAAATTATACCGGCGCGCGGCGCGAGTTCTTCTTTTTTTCAGGACAGCCACGCTGTTTTAATAAACTAACTGGCGAAACGCCTGATGATAAATGATCAGTGCTGCTGATAATTGGACACCCGCAACATCAGGAGTTGCCAGTGCATTGCGCCAATAAAAAGGAGTGCATACAGCAATTTTGTCTCTTTATCTATTCAGTTATGAATAGGTACGTATGTCGAAAACTTCATGACAACATGACATAACATAACATCACGCCTTTTTATCCCCGAAGCGGTAGGCAGAGGTACAAATTCCGTAAAAAAAATAAAATTCATGAAAAAAATATTATTTCAAATTATTTTAAAACTTCATGACGTTTCAACTACTTAATATAGGTAACCCACCCTAACCCTAACCTACGTAAACTTAATTTTATCATCATTTATTAAAAAAAAAATCCGAAATAAAACAAGAATTTTATGCGACAAAAAGTGTCCAGCAAAAACTCAGTGCACAGTAAATAGCTACTTAAGTGTGGGCAACATTGAAGTGGCCTCCACGATCCTCATCAACGTATAATTTAACAATCAGCCACTGAGATCTAGGACGTGCTATCATTATAATGGAGTCAACAGACATGCAATTGATGTGATACACACATATGTTTGTACCGATGAACGTGTACGTACAGACACTGCTTACATACACAACATGGTCGAAAATATTAAAGCTATGTTTATTAAGAACTAGCTTTTACCCGCGGCTTCGCTCGCGTCACAAAAGGATAAAAAGTAGCATATGTGACATATACCAATACATACAGCGCCATCTATACCAATACTTTTGTTTTCCCTCGGGAATATCAAATTTTTTCGGGATAAAAAGTACCCTATTATTTAATCCAGACTACTAACTTTACATCTGCAAAAATTCAATGCAATCGGTTTAGTAGTTACGGTGTGAAGTCGGAACAAACAAACAAACTCACTTTCCGATTTATAATATTAGTAAGGATAAAAAAATGTTTTCTGTCATTAAAAGTCTCATTGATAATGATGCGGTATCAATTATAAAATTCAGTTAACAGTCATCCGAGAACTGGGATAACGAAAACCTTGTTTCTGCCATAAAATTCACACAGATATAATAAAAATTTGCAGAAACAGCCGCCATTCTATGTACATATCTCATCTTATACTAGTATATAAAGCTGAAGAATTTGTTTGTTTGTTTGTACGAATAATTATTTTTGTGTTGGATAGCACATTTATCGAGGATGGCTATAGGCTATAAAACATCACGCTACGACCAATAAGAGCTGAGCAGAGCGTGTGAAACCCCGCGGAGGTAGCTAGTACTAGTATATAAAGCTGAAGAGTTTGTTTGTTTGTTTAAACGCGCTAATCTCCGTAACTACGGGTCCGATTTCAATAATTGAGGAGCTGAGCAGAGCGTATTCAACCGCTGCAAATTGCTAGTGTAAAATATAAGTAAGTTTACTAGTGTTTGTGAGAGCCATGTTTCGACACGAATCGAATGGAACGGCTCGACTGGATTACCACGACCTCACAGAAAACCGACGTTAAAAAACGCTTGCGTTATTTGTTACCATTTGAGTGACGTTGTACCAAAATAGTCCACAGTAAATTAGTTCCTAAATAATGTAGTTATTAGTAAATTACTAAGAACTCACCACAAATAGTAAAGAGAGTGAAATCACTGATTGTGGGCATCAGGCTCACATCAGCTCCGTTCTTGTCCTTGAGCATCTTCACCAGATCCTGTGTCTTCTCTTCGATTACGTGGGCGAAGTTCTTCAGGATGTTGAAGTGGAAGGTTGGAGTCAGAATCTTACGGCGCTTGTGCCAGTGGAGACCTGGTAAAGAAAAGAAGAAAATTTGTTGTTTTTCACAAATGTCTTTATGGGTCTAAGTCAAAGTCAAAGTCAAAATCGTTGATTTGAATTAGACCAGTAATGCCTTACTGGTCTAATTCTTGTGAACGTCAACAACAAAAAAATTTAGAAGTGAAGCTAGTTGCTCATAGTTGCTCATTCCAAGGTGTAGATTCCTATGGAGAAGGAGAAGAACGAGCAAGAAACTCCATAGGTTACTCTTTTTCAATCGGGTTTACAATACAATTCTCTAGTTACATTGTGGTATTACAAACATGTCTCGCTTATGGTATTATAAACATGGGTAATAATATATTTTCGTTTCATTTATTTTAGTTCATTCAATGCACTTTTTTATTTTAGTAAGTTTTGTAATTACATAGTATAATGCGTCAAGCGTGTCTTTGCATTGTTCTCACATATACGTACAGTATTGGAATATGTATCAGAGACATTTTAGAACATACTTTTTTAAAAAGAGTAACAAATGGAGTTTCTTGCTCGTTCTCCTCCATTCGAATCTGCATTTTGGAATGAGCACCTAGCTTCACCTAGCTTCACTGACAGACTGACTGACAGACTATTATTTATTTTGTATTGTTGAGGTTTCAAAAGTACCAAATTATGGTTAAATTGAAATAAATCCTTTGACTTTGACTTTGACAATACAGACTGAACAAATTTTAATTAACAACTTTTCCTCATTTATATTTAAAAATGCTATTTTAACAATTATCGCAAGCAAAACTGTCTGGAAACACTCGACTTCGATTGAATAAGTTCACGAATCAGAATCGAGCTATCTGTGTGGTATCAGACTCGCCCCCTATTACAAGAGACTCATAGAACATAACAAGGGCTTTCCCTTGTCTTTTATCTTTATAAACAAGAGCATTCAATATCTCGACCAACCTTTTTGAACTAAAACCTAAACTCCTATGTCAATTGAAGGTCATCTGAAACCATAATTAGATTCATTAATCTGAGGCAAATTGACTTGAAACAGCGACAACAGGTAAAAAACACTGATTACCTGTTTCCCAGCTAATGACGGGCTTCAAGGTCGGTAGAACAAGTACCATTTTAGAATCGAATTCCAAAATACATTTTGTTTCGAAAAAATAAAAAATAATTGTTACTTTAGTTTGTCTAGTCTCACACATTATAATACCTAATAGTACGAGAGCCCACGATCAAAATTTTTGTCTCATAGCAATACGATCGACGAAATCGATAGATACGATTATTCTGAACTCGAAAATACCAATATCAGACATTTTCCGCGTAGCGTTTGATCTGACCGAATTTTCAAAATTGTCAAAGAATTTTACCGAACTGTAGTTGAATGATAGTTCTGAGATACCGGAAACATATTTTTCAGACGTTAGTGGTGTAGTGCAAAAAATCACTTAAAAAAATTAAAAATGAGACAAAAAAATGTCTCATAGCAATACGTCTGAAAATCTTTTTTATTAGTAAATTTTGGTTATTTGATACGAACAAAACAATTTAATATAATATAATTACCTTGCAACATAAGTTATTTAATAAAGGATCTTTATTTAAAATTATGTCTTAATATTAAATTCTATGTAGTAACATTAAAAAACTGACTGTCTCGTTGGCCCAGTGGTCGCAAATACGACTGCCGGGCAATGGGTCTCGGGTTCGATTCCCGGGTCGGGCAAAGTATTAGTGGGTTTTTAAAAATCTCTGTAGTCAGTAGTCACGGAGTCTAGAAATGTGCCCGGTATATGACAATAGGCTCACACCCTATTACATATGACTCATAACAAAATAGTGAAAAGTGGGTGTTACATTGTACAGTGGCATTAAGTGCCGTAGGTAATTTGCACCTCCGCCTACCATTTCGGGGATAAAAGACGTGATGTTGTGTTATGTTAAACAGTTTATCTGTAATATAATACAAGAATTGATTAAAAAACACCCCGTAACTTTTTACTCAACTCGAGTTTTCGTTAAAATATAACTAATATATTATAAGGTATACATATAATAACATAACTAACATTATATAAGGTATAATTTATAAACTCCACGACCACAAAGTGAACAAGAAACGTGCATTACCGCCATTATCGAGGGCCGCAAATGTGAGCAACACAAACAAACAAGGCAAGGTGACACGTGAAATGATAGACGATGTTCTGACATATTTTTTAAGAAAGCGATGAGAGTAGGTACCTACTCAAATTATTTTTTTTGTAAAAGAAATATTGTGAATTCTGTGAGATAATCATCAAAAACATTACACAAACTAAATAAAAACTGCGTTTAAAAATCCGACTTCAAAAAACCAAAAACTGATAACAAACAAAAAGTCAAAACTAAAAAGCAAAAAATAACTATCATTAGTACCTACTGATAGGTTACCCACCCACTGATAGGTTACCCACCCACTGATAGGTTAGAAGTCGGTACCATAAGTTCTATACAAAATTGAACATTTAAACCTTAATACTTTAATAGATACCTAATATAAAATTTTGCGGTCATTGAGTTATATCATTATGATATGAGCTTACCAAATTTTAGTGTTTAAAAATCCTAAATGAAAAACATAATAAACGCATTAATTGCCCCTACAATTTTCGAAAGTTCCCCTCGGTTTCCCAAGCATTCCACCATCAGATCCTAACCTCATTGAAATGGGACCATCTCGGGAGTATACCCTTTCAAACAAAACAAGAATTTTGAAAATCAGTTCACAAATGCCGGAGTTATCGGCGAACAAACAAAAGAACAATCAGCCGAACATAGTATATATATAGCATCCTCCTTTTTTTGAAGTCGGTAAAAATATTACGACACAAGTTAGCTGTGATGTACCTAAGTAAAGGATTGAAAAAAAATCAAAGAGAATGCCAGAAACGATTAAAAGGCTTGAGGCTACATTTTAATTTTTTATCAGATATCCCTTCCTTTGTAAATTACCCCAGTTGTACATGATTGTTACTCTTTCTTGGAATATCAAACCATTAGCAGATGCTTAATGTCAGAAATAATGAAATTTAAATATCGTGTCCTGTTATTTTCCCAAGGGCGCCGCTTTGACAGTAACTATATGTGCTTTGACAGTGTCTATACCTACTCTATGTTGATTTTGTTATTTACACCCAATTATTTGAAATCCTCTAAAAATTTATTTGTAACACTATTTCATAGAAAACACAAAAATAATTATACTATTACTGGTTGACACGGCGTACTCCCTCAAATTTTTTTTTTCACCTTTTAAACCTTCCCTGGACTTCCACGAACATATCAAGACCTAAATTAGTCAAATCGGTTCAGCAGTTCTCGAGTTTTAGCGAGACTAACGAACGGAAATTCATTTTTATTTATATAGATTATTAAAACATTGTTATGATATTAGTAAGTATGAAACAATGCGAATAATTATGTACGAATGTCAAATGTCCCATGTGATATAAAACGAATCTACTGCTACCTATTGACAATTTTTCGGTATTAACTCAAGATAAGGCGGGAGAAGTCATTCGATGATTTTCCCCCCTTAAAAAATAAAGCAATTTTGCTTACGACCGTTCCACTAATAAATAAACATGTTTGAAACAAATACCAACCAGTACTAAGCAAGAGTCCGGTGCCCAGCCAGCCCTTTAGGAAGTCATAAGGAGCACTCTTCTTGATATTCTTCGAATGTGAGAGCACCGTCTGGAACAAATTATTTTATTAACATGACATACATACTTACTTACATACACATATATACATAATACAACATTTTCGACAGATACTTTTCTATTGACTACATAATTTTCAGGCTCGCGACTAAATCTAATGGTGCGTCTAAATCTGGTGATGCTCAGCTCATGAGCCGCCCGCGAGATGCGCGCGTGCAGTCGCGACAATGGTTTGATGCTCAACTCATACAAGGTTCATATAAATAATAATTTCAAATGCACGCGTACAGCTCACGAGCGGCTCGCGAACCGCGCATTCGCCACATGTGGACACACCCTTAGGTTTCTCCCAAAAAATCTTAATATTATTTTGCTTACATCTGCGGATAGAAGAAGGTAGACGGTTTTAAGATTACATATTCAGAAGTTACCAATATAAAACCAGCCTTAAAATTCCAAGTACCTAAATGTGTCGTGGCCTAGTTTTTTTAAATGTTGCCCCACACTACGATTTTCTCCTGTGTCGTAGGTGTGTTTACAAACATACAAGTTCACATACACATGACATCCAGACCCGGAACAACTATTTGTAGATTACGGAATTATGTTGCACGGCAGCCGGTTGCCCAGCCTCTACACCAACCGTGCAGTCTCATAATACTTAACGTTTTTTCTCTCTTTCTTTCTTAGAAATCTAAACAGGTTTCCTGAACTAACTTTGTAGTAATACGAATATTTCTAGAAAATTTTCTATTCAATATTTTCCTCTTTTCCACGTACTAAAAGATGGGCTTCAGCGCCTTCAGCGAACCGTTTTGCAAAGGAAAAGTGAAACCGTAGTCAGTAGGGAATGAATAGGAACCTATTCAAAGATCAATATCTGAATGGTAGGTACCTAAGTAATTGATTAGTATAGAATTTCCACAGTGAATAACATTTGTGTAAATAACGACTAACTTTTGATGCTATTTTTAATCGACTTCAAAAAATGAGGTCCTCTGTTTGACCTGTATTTATGTAATACTAGCTTTTACCCACGGCTTCGCTCGCGTCACAAAAGGATTAAAGTAACCTATGTGACATATACCAATACACACAGCGCCGGGATAAAAAGTACCCTATTATTTAATCCAGACTTTTAACATCACGTCTGCAAAAATTCAAAGCAATCGGTTTAGTAGTTACGACGCGAAAGTGGAACAAACAAACAAACTCACTTTCCGATTTATAATATTAGTAAGGATGTATGTGTGTATGTATGTATGTGTGTATGTTTTTTTTTATATATTTGATGGGGCGACGTTTGACCACTATCTCACCTGATGGTAAGCGATGATGCGGTCTACGATGGAGCACGTCGTCCCATAAGTAACCTATTCACTCGGGCCTTGAAGACTCCCAGGTTATACCCTTCAGGAAATACAGACTCTGGCAAAGAATTCCACTCTTTAGCAGTACGCACAAGAATGCTTGAAGCGAAGCGCTTCGTGCGTGTGGGCGGAACATCTAGCATGAATCGGTGACGCTTCGCGGATTGTCTTGTGGTACGATGATGGAAAGGACTAGGGGGAATCAAGTTGTGCAATTCCCCCGCACACTCCCCGAAATGTATCCGGTAGAAAACCGAAAGGCTTGCAACCTTACGCCTATGTTCGAGGCTTTGAAGCCGAGCCTTCCCAAGCGCATCATCGTCGATGAGCCTCCTGGCACGCCTCTCAATGTGCTCTAACGCGTCCAGCTGATATTTAGCCGAGCCGTCCCAAAGATGAGAGCAGTACTCCATACAGGACCGAACCTGTGCTTGGTACAGGCTCAGCAATTGTTTCGGCGTGAAGTACCGTCTCACCCTCCATAGGACACCCAACTTCCTACCAGCCAGTTGCGCTTTTGACTCTATATCCAAAGTTGAGTATGGGCGTCAGAGTTACACCAAGAAGCTCAAGATGATCGGTTATCGGTACGGATACATTCCGGAAAGTAGGAGTCAGCGGAAATTGACTCCGTTTGGCGGAGAATAGACACGACTAGGTCTTGCTAGCATTGAACCTAACCAAGTTGGCGTCACCCCAGTCGGACACCGCCTTCAAGGTCGAGTTCAAACGTTCGACCATGGATTCTCTTAAAGACTGGATCTGTGTTCCGCTAGTCCGCGCACCGGACACATACCTTTCAACAACTGTGCTGTCATCTGCATACCCAAATATACCGGGCTTAAGCAGGTCGTTTATGTGCAGCAAAAAGAGCGTCGCGGAAAGTACTGACCCCTGAGGGACGCCGGCATTAATACCGAATTGGTCAGACGAGCAGCCATCGATGACTACTCGTATTGACCGATCCCTCAAAAAGTCTGCTATCCATCTGCACAGACCAGTAGGAAGTCCATATGCAGGAAGCTTGCCGATTAGACTGTCGTGCCATACCCTGTCAAAGGCCTTCGAAATATCGAGTCCCCAGTCGATCGGTTACGTCGAAACCCGTATTGCCGATCGCTGAGGAGATCGTTACCTTCAAGGTATGCCAGGAGTCTATTGTTAAGTACACGTTCCATGCTCTTGCAGAGTATGGACGTGACCGAAATAGGGCGGTAATTGTTAGGGTCGGCACGACTACCTTTTTTAGGCACAGGCTGTACGTTGGCCAGCTTCCATGCAACCGGTACTAGACCCGTCTCTAAGGAAATGTATGTGTGTATGTATGTATGTATGTGTGTATGTATGTATGTTTGTGCCCGATAACTCGCGACTGGCTGAACCGATTTTGATGCGGTTTTCAGAAAAATGTTTGTTACACTTAGGAGAAGGTTTTAGTATATTCACTAACCGACTTAAAGAAAGTTGTAAGCGGTTTTAAAACGTAGTTTGTAAAAGAGTTATTTATACGTATTAAATTTAATGGTTCTCGATATTTTCTACAAGATCAGCAACACACTGGTGATGCCTTCAAAAAGTCGACCACCATATATCGTTGGGGATAGTGCAAATTCGCGGAACTATCATTGGATAATTCCGCGTACCTGAGAAATGTAAGTAATTCAAGTTCATTTCGACTCATTTTTATTTTAATATGTAATAAAACCGACTTCAAAAAACCAAAAACTAACAACACAAGTAAAAAAAAACTATTATTAGTACTAACTGATAGGTTACAAATACCCATCCACTGATAGGTAAGTCGTCGGCGTCGGCGCATGAAATATGCCATACGACATACGATTTAAAGTTCATACTTAAAGGACAAATTAATTGCTGGGTTGGAGCCGTGCCGGAGCAATGCTTGTCAGATGTGCGATAACCTTCATGATCAAACCTTCTCCGTCTGAGAAGAGGCTTTACTCAGCAGTGAGCAGTTATAGGATATTGATGATGATGATGGGAAGAATGGAAGATGATATGAAGAAGTAATACTATTAGTTATTTAGCCTATTTCCGCAATAACCCAACCTGCAGTCTTAGGCAAGTACGTTCCATTATCGTCCGATGGTTCACGAGTTCAAAGAGTGAACGAGCCCCGTCACTGCAGTGTTACCACTTACCACTAAGCCGCGTTACCCGTGCCTTCCATAACGAATGCGACGTTGCCGCTCTTCTGAGGCCTTTTTCTTTTTCGTTTAAAGTAATCGAAACGAAACCTCGTCCGGCGCTCTAATTAGTTGGTTCATCGGAGCCGGCCAATCACAGCGCCGAACGCGTACTCGTTTCGATTACTTTCAACGAAAAACAAACTCGTACTAAGCCCTCTGAGGTCAAGGTACGTGGCTTACACAAAGTGTTATACTTTCTTGAATATATAGGAGAAACAAAGACATAACGTGATCAAACTATCTGTCAGTCTATCCCTAAAGTCCGTGTGGCTACTACACAATATATCGGCTTATTCTGTCTATCTTCATAAATAAAGGGTCCCTTAGCAATGTTAGGAGGCTTAATTTACATCAAGGAAAAGCCGTTTGATTTACACTTCCAATTGATATTACTCGTCTTTGTAGGTCTTGCGTTTATTGAGCAAAGAATTGTGCCGTGCGGGAATCGAACACGCAACACGTTGCGCGGCATCCCTTTGCCCAGCCGCCGCGCCAACCGTGCACACTGCACAAATCAAGAAATTAATTGACAAAAGTACGTACCTCGACATCAGGAGGTCCAGATATATGCAGCACTCGGAGACTAAACACCTTGAACACGTAGCGGTCGCCATAAGTGTTCGTGTAGTCGACCAATATGTCCAATAACTTATCTGGAAAACAAAGAATACAGTTAATCAAGATTATCTAGGCGTCTCCATTTTTATTTTTATTTTTTTTATGGCATAGGCCGGTATACGACCAGACGGATCACCTGATGGTAAGCAATCGGCGTCGCCCATGGACACTTGGAACACCAGAGGCGTTACAAGTGCATTACCAGTCTTTTGGGGAATTAGGAGTTTGAGGATCGTTGGGGATTAAAGAATTGGGGAGATTGGTTAAGGGGAGGGTAATTGGGCCTCCGGTAACCTCACTCACACGACGAAACACAACGCAAGCGTTGCTTCACGTCGGTTTTCTGTGAGGCCGTGGTATCACTCCGGTCGAGCCGGCCCAGCAGTGCCGAAGCATGGCTCTCCCACACTTAAGACAAGTTTCTACACAAGTCCTCACTTGACTACAAAAGAAAAAGAACGAGCTTCTCAGTGTGATCTGTAAGTATGTATGTATGTATGTTTTTTAGATTTAAACTGTCAAACACCGAGCGGTCACCGGTGACCACAACCTATTGTTCTTTAATTGTGTCTATAATTACGGTACTCAAAGAGTTAAATAAGTAAATGTTTTGTTTTTCTTTTTCTTTGTTTTGTAAAATTTCTTTTTTATTTTTATTTTAGTATTTTCGATTATTGAGTTAAGTTTAGCCAAGAATTTGTTCATTTTTGTTTTTTACTTTATGATTTTGTTATATTTGGACATAATATAGATTTAGTTTTTTAAGGCCTAGCTATCGCAATGGAGAAACCTGTCATGATAGTTTAGGTAAGGTTTTATATAAATAAATAAATAAATAAAAATAAATAAATGTTTGTGCGCGACTACCTCGCGATTAACTGAACCGATTTTGAGGCGGTCAGTAAAGTATTTGTTACACTTACGAGAATGTTTCAGTATATTACTGAACTTAGTTAAAAGGAGGTTTGAAGTAAGCTTTTTTAAACATAGTTTATACAAGAACTACTATAAATTAGCTTATGCCAGCGGCGTCGCCCGCGTTCCCAGGGGTAAAAATATCAATAGATACAGTATGACAGGGTAAATATCAATAGATACAGTATCTAGTTTCCTTATGGCATCGAGCATTTCTTTATTAAAACAAAGGGTTTCCTGTTCTTGTATAGAAACATTAATTCTATGGATTGTCAGTATGCATATGTGAGCACCATGTTGGACTTTAAGATTTTTATTTATTTATTTTATTTTTTTTAATTTTAGTAAGTTATTAGTATAATGCGTCAAGCGTGTCTTTGCATTGTTCTTACATATGCGTACAGTATTAAAATATGTATCAGAGTCATTGTAGAACATACTTTTTTTAAAAGAGTAACGAATGGTGTTTCTTGCTCGTTCTTCTCCATTCGAATCTACTTTTTGGAATGAGCACCTAGCTTCACCTAGTTTCACTGACGGACTGACTGACAGACTATTATTTATTTTGTATTTCTTGACGTTTCAAAAGTACCAAACTATGGTTTAATCGAAATAAATGCTTTGACTTTGACTTTGGTATGAATAAGAAAAATAATAAACACTTATTTTTTGTTGTATACAAAAACCATACTTCGATAAAACGAAACGAATTACATTATAATATTATATATTATATAGAATTATACGTGACGTCACAGAATACTGGATAGAAGAGATGTGGTGACAATAATCTATTCTACTGTGACGTCATCATACGGTAAGACCCACTAAACTGTGTATATTTATTATACTTATTACTTAGTATCAAGTATTACCTGAGGGCATTTGGAGCAGCTCCCAAGCGTTCCCAATCCATGGTTTCCTCGGAGGTCCGGGGAGTTTGTCCACGGGGTTATCATCATCTCTGAAGAATATCAGCCATACCACCGCCGCCACCAACGCCGCCAGCAGCAACTCAAATATCATGTTGCTGATCCTGTGGACAAATAGAGACGTTTTCTTTACTTTTCCTTTTTTGTTTTTTTTAGGGGCTTTTTACCAATGGGCTACATCAGATCCATCGTAAGCAGAGCTTATAGACCTAAAACATTTTAAATTAACTAAAAATTGATTATAAATATCAAATACCAGAATATGAGCCTCTAGCATGGCTTGAAACTAGTCGAGTTCCTCGTCAAATTATTACGTGAGTAAGCGGAAAACATAATAATTTAATCAAATACCAGCGGTAGCACGGAGTCTGTAATTGTGCCCGGTATATGGCAATAGGCTCACCCCCTATTACATGGAACTCCTAACATAAATAGTGAAAAGTGGGTGTTACATTGTACAGTGGGATTACGTACCGTAATGTTTACCTCTGGCTAACCCTTCGGGGATAAAAGGCTTGATGTTATGTTATGTCAAAAAGGAAGGTATGCGTAAGTTGTATCATTTCTTTTCACTTAAAGAACTTCAAGCTTTCTATAAAACACCCAATTTAACAAAATATCATTGTAATACCACCTTCATTTGGCATTAAAAACACAAAGTCGTAGGTATCTAACAAGTCATTGATTCACGCGTACTCTATATACATACTCTATACCTATTCTATTAGTCTGCAGATAAGTAGCCCACAGTGCGGAGTGATTAATCCCTACGGAAATGGATTCCCTGAATGATGCCTTTAGGTAATAACCTACATATTCTGACACGTGTAGTTTATGAATAGGTAGCAGGAAATAGTGGAAACCCTAATGCTAAAATTGATTTAAATATCGATAGAGACAGAGTCTAACTGGTAACGCATTTTTAGAAAACCATTTGGAAACGATTTTTTATAGGATAAGCCGGTAAATGAGCTGACGGATCACCTGATGGTAAGCAATCGGCGTCGCCCATGGACACCTGGAACGCCAGAGACGTTACAAGTGCGTTACTAGCCGTTTGGGATTAGGAATTTGAGGATTGTTGGGGGCCCAGGGATTGGGAAAGGGGGGAGGGGTTATTGGGCCTCCGGTAACCTCATTCACAAACACAACGCAAGCGTTGTTTCACGTTGGTCATGGTATCACTCCGGTCGAGCCGGCCCATACGTGCTGAAGCATGGCTCTCCCACATTTATGTTTAGTTTTGAAATTATATTCAGGGATTGCTAACTGAATGTGTCGTTCTTGAATGATCGTAAGTACGAACGCCAAGCAACGGGTCCTGCGTCTGCAACAGACTCAGACATGTGACTCATAAATAATAACATAACATCACGCCTTTTATCTCCGAAGGGGTAGGCAGAGGTGCACATTATACCACTGTACAATGTAACACCCAATTTTCCCTATTTATATTATGAGTCCCATGTAATAGGGAGTGAGCCTATTGCCATATACCGGGCACAATTCCAGACTCCGTGCTACTACTGAGATTTTTTTAAAAACCCAGTATTACTTTGCCCAACCCGGGAATCGAACCCAAGACCCCATGCCCGGCAGTCGCACTTACGGCCACTCGGAAAACGAGGCAGTCAGGTGAAAAGTTATATGTATTAATGTAGTTAATAAAAGGTACACCTAATTATAGGGACTGGACCACAAAGGAGATGTTTCATTTTCGGCTATGACTTGTACAGTTACCGAGAAAGAGGAAAAAATACTAAGAACCAAGGAAAAATAATATGAAGCATGAGATTATTAAGGTCTCTGCACACAGCGGGCGCGGCGCGGCGGGACGGGACGGCGACGTGACACTGAGCAGTTGTAATCTATACTAATACTAGCAAACCCGGAGAACTTCGTTTCGCCACCAGATGGCTTTGTTTTGTGTAACAATTCGTTTGGTGATTAAAAGATGAAGAAATTTTTTTTACCTAAATTTGCTATAAACCTCACACAGCTTAAGACCTTTCCAACGAATGCAAAACCGTGGAAACCGATTCGTGCATTCTGGAGTTATAGCGTCAGAAAGGAAAACCAGACTTATTTTTATATAGTAGATTATAAAGCTGAAGAGTTTGTTTGTTTGAACGCGCTAATCTCCGAAATTACTGGTCCGATTTGAAAAATTCTTTCGGTATTGGATAGCCCATTTATTAAGGAAGGCTATAGACTATAAAATATCACGCTACGATTAATAGGCGCCGAGCAGAGCGAGTCAAACCGCATGGAAGTAGCTAGTGTACTAGATATTACGGACGCCGCCACACAGAGCCATCCCGCTCGACGCGTCGCCGTTCCGTCCCGCCGCGCCGCGCCCTCTGTGTGCAGAGACCTTTACTGTGGCTACTGACTTTTTTTTATAACGGGGCCTAGTAATCCAAGAGTGAGGAGTTTCCTCGTTCCGGTTTCTATCGGGTATAATGTAATGTCGAGTCAATTCTCATTGAACTATGTATTATTTTTCTTTAGCAACTTTTGTTTGTTATACGATTGTCAAATAAACAAGCATTATCTGATTTAGTAGATTCGTTCTTAAATTATAAGAATCAAGGATAAATATGGTATGTCTTCATTTTATATATCAACATCCTCAGGGTTTTTCTAAAATAACTATAGTGAGACAAATATACTTTTTTTGCCTCACACTAGGATTTTTCCCTGTGTCGTGAGTGCATTTACAAACACTCTTTCACATACACCGAAACAACAATTTGTGGATGACACAAAGAGTTGATCTGTTTGGGAATCAAACCAGTCACCGCGCCAACCATGTAGTCAATACTGCTTTTTTTATATTAGTTGGGACTGACGTTTGACCACTATCTCGCCTGGTAGTAACCAATGCTGTCTACGATGGAGCACGTCGTCCCATAAGCAACCTATTCAACCTATAAGCTTACTCACATGAACTATACAAGAAAAGCTCTACTACTTACAAGGTACACTCGTTAGTGTACTGAAAGGCCCAAATCCTGAAAGGCTACTCAAATTTAAATTGAACTTAAATATCGTGCCATCTCTGTATTTTACAATGAATTTGTGGTGACTATATTTAAACTATAAAATTGAGTAGCATTTGAGAATTTGAACGTAAGACTCTTATTCGTGTTTATTCTCATTATCAGATCTATACTTAATATTATAAAGCTGAAGAGTTTTTTTTTTGTTTGTTTGTTTGAACGCGCTATTCTCCGAAACTCCTGGTCCGATTTGAAAAATTCTTTCTATTTTGGATAGCCCGTTTATCGAGGAAGGCTATAAAACATTTCGCTACGATTAAAATGCGCCGAGCAGAGCGAGTGAAACCGCGCGGAAGTAGCAAGTTGTATCATATTCATGTTCATTAAAATTAATCTTGAAATGTCAATAACCAAATGTTATTGACATTAAATTACTATAACTTTAATTACAAATATACATATTACAACAAAACTACTGCTACGCTGCGCACCTACAGGTCAGACGAAACACAACAAAATATAGATAAAGTACAAAAAAGTTATAAATAACTTGATATCCCACTGACCTTCGAGTTTCGTTTATTATCTGCAGACGTCAAACTGTAGACGATATTATAAAAGTAAATGCAGCAATTGCGTGCATAAAGCAGTTTTTGTGTTTGTTTGCTTGCTTGCTTGACTGCATTGTTAGTTGTGTGTTGGTATAGCAAATAATAGGGTAGATGCTTTTTATTTTAACGTCCGTCTGGTAGATTATTTTAAATCATTAGACACGTATTTTTTATTTTCTTACAGAAACGAATACTTTTCACGATATATTGATTTGAAATGTCGCGTCACTTCTATGTACATTTTATACGTAGAAATTACGTTTTAGCCCCCACTCCTAAACTTTGATTCGTTTTGTCTAAGTATTGTTTTATTATACGACAAAATAAAAAAATACGTGTCTAATATTTTTTCATTACCTAACTTACGGACTAATAATATTTCTAATTTTCATACCCTGTCATCATTCTAATTGCATTATGAACTTTAATGTTTTCGATTATTTCTTCTGCAAGGTTTTGGTAGATAGGGTAAAAATGTTTATTTTGCAAGTGTTATTGAGTTTACTATTTCGATTTCGAAATACTATCATAGTTTGTAACACCTCTAAGACTATGTAGTCTCAGTCTCTAGTCTCTAGTCTAGTGAGTAGGTACTCAAAGGAGATAAATACCCGAGAAAATGGACTATTCCCTTAAGAATAAAATGTTTTAACATTTTTATAGCAGGGAACTTTACGGAAAGAAGTTAATCCTACTCATGTTAAACCTTCATTTACCTAAATATATCGTAATGTATTTATGTTTTATATCGAAAATTAAGTTCTACCTACTACTATTGTTTGTTTTTAACATTTTTATAGCAGAAAACTTTACGGGGAGAGAAATTAATCCTACTAATAGTATCCTACAATATACCACTACATAGTATAAAACAAAGTCGCTATCCGCCAGCTGTCTGTCCCTATGTATGCTTTAATCTTTAAAACTACGCAACGGATTTTGATGTGATTTTTTTAATATATAGAGTGATCTTAAGTAATGTTTATATGTATATTAGAGCATATTGCACCCGTACGAAGCCGGGGCAGGTCGCTAGTAATATTGTAAATGAGAAAGTTTGTATGTCTGTTTGTATGTTACTCTCTCTCATCATAACGGCTGAAGGGCTTGGGATAAAATTTGGATCAAGGGTAGAGTATGGTCTCAAATAACACAGGCTTTTTTTAAGGGGGGAAAATCATCGAATGACTGTTCTCGCCTGGGTGAGGCGGGAGAGAGTGTCAGACTCTTACTGACTAAAAACCACCCCGTTCCTTCTCCTGCACGTCGAGCCGGAGCCCCGGTTACCCGTTAGGTTCTCCGCGACTAATAACACAGGCTACTTTTTATCAAACGGTATTATGGGCAAGGCCGGCGGCAGAAGCTAATATACCCTATTATAGTGCCTTACTACCTCAGTTCGAGCTAAATAGTTAATCCTTAGGTGAGTGTAAGTAATCCGTTAAGTCTAATCACTTTCTGGCTAATATTGCTAATTGCCT